AAAAGGAGAGGTTGGAAGGACGGATCTACCAGCCAAGGAATGCTGATGATTATCAGCAGCAACCAGAAGCTAGGAAGAATCAGGGAAGGGCCCTCCCCTAGAGCCTTAGGAGGAAGCACGGCTCTGCTGACACCTTGGTTTCAGACGTATAGCCTCCAGAAGCGTGAAAGAATACATTTCTGTCTGTGTAAGCCACCCAGTTTGTAGTAATTGCTTATGACAGTCCTGGAAAACCAATATAGATGGACTTCGAGATGGAGGAAAGGACTATGTGCAGACAGAGCTACTGGGAGTGAATGCAACAGCTTTTGAAAGCATATGATGTCCTTGGGGAACAAACAGTAATTTGATGTGGCTGGGGCAAAGAGGTAGACAAGAAGGAGCCAAATACAGTAGGAGGTGATGAAAATGCAGGCTGGGACTTTGACTGCTGGGCTAAGGTGTTTGATCTTTATCTTGTATGGGATGGGAAGCAATTTGCATTTTTGATCAGAGTCTGAACTGTGCTTGAGTTTAATTCCTTTCGTTAATCAAGGGTAAGAAACTGCCTTCCCATTTTGGCTTTTGGTTTCTTCTTGTCCTTCTCACTGGTTTTGGCCCCGGTGAGGTTGGATGGTGCTGGCTTTAGTGCCACAGGATGGATGACTCAAAGATAAGCACATTCAGAAAAGGCATTTGACAAAATTCAACATCCATCTATGATAAAAACTCTCAACAAGGTGGGTATAGAGGGAAAGTACCTCAACATAATTCAGTGCAATCCCTATCAACATTCCAATGGCATTTTTCAAAGAAAAAGAACAAATGATCCTAAAATTTGTATAGAACCACACACATACACACACACACACACACACACACACACACACAAACCAAATAGCCAAAGCAATCTTGAGAAGGTGGAACAACTCTGGAGACATCATGCTCCCTAATTTCCATCAAGTGTTAGTAATGACCGTAAACACAATGAAAAGACAACCTGTGGAACGGGAGAAGATATTTGCAAATGATGCGACTGACAAGAGATTCATCTCCAAAATATACAGCTCATACAGCTTAATATCAAAATAAAAACAAACAACCCAATCAAAAAATGGGCAGAAGACCTAAATAGACATTTCTCCACAGAAGACATACAGATGGCTTACAAGCACATGAAAAGGTGCTCAGCATCACTAACTACCTGAGAAATGCAAATCAAAACTACCATGAGGTATCACCTCACACCAGTCAGAACGGCCATCATTCAAAAGTCTACAAATAAAAATTCCAGAGAGGGTGTGGAGAAAAGGAAACTCTCCTACACTGTTGCTGGGAATATAAATTGGTGCAGCCGCTGTTGAAAACAGTCTGGAAGTTCCTTAAAAAAGTAAAAATAGAGTTACCATATGATCCAGCAATCCCACTTCTGGGCATACGTCCAGAGAAAATTCTAACTTGAAAAGATACATGCACCCCAGTGTGCATAGCAACACTATTTATAATAGCCAAAATATGGAAACAACCTAAATGTCAATCCACAGATGATTGGATAAAGAAGTTGTGGTATGTATGTGTGTGTACACACACACAATGGAATATTATTCAGCCATAAAAAAGAATGAAATCTTGCTATTTGAGACAACATGGATGAACCTTGAGGATGTAAGTGAAATAAGACAGAGAAAGACAAATACCATATGACCTTTCTCATGTGTGGAATCTAAAAACAAACAAAAAAATACAAACTCATCCTTACAAGAGAACAGATTAATGATTGCCAGAAGTGGGGGTGTGGGGTGGGAGAAAAAAGAAAAGCAATGCTGGGAAGAGTTTGACTGATTCACCACTAAACTGTGCTTTCCATAGTTCGTGAGCATGTAATATTTGCCGAATGAATTAATTAATCAACTCTTGATTTAGAGAACAAAACAACAACAAAAACCCCTCTGTTGTATACTTTATATTAAATATGGGGAGTGGGGATTGAATGCTGCAAAAATAATGTAAAACACCTATTTTTAAAAAAAGGTAAGAACAGGATCTAATTTGCTTTTGCATCCTTGGCACGTAGAATAATATGATAACATGTCGTGTTCTTCAGGACTTTTGCTGTAAGTGATAGAAACAATTTTGCTTAAGCAACCAGGGAATTCATTGGCTCACAAAATGGGGAAAAAATGAAGGTGTATTAGTTTCAAGGGCAGCTGTGATATTCTGATTCATAATAAGAAATACAGATTTGATCTCCATCCCAGTTTCTGGCACAGAGTTTCTAAAACCCTTGGCATTTCCTAACTGATGAGAACCATGAAAGGTGTCTTGTTACTTTAATGAAGTGACTCATAGGAAGCCCCTAAGTCACCTAAGAATGGAAACTGGTTGCCAGGGGAACCAGCTGTGTGATTAAAAAATCATTGGACATTTTAGCCCCACCCCTAACCTCCAGAGAGGGGAGAGGGGCTAGAGATTGAGTTCAATCACCAGTGACTGATGATTTAATCAATCGTGTTTCTCTAATGAAGCCTCCCTAAAACCCCAGAAGGACGGGGGAGCAGTCTTATAGGACTGAGCCCTTAACCTGTAGAATCTGATGCTATCTCCAGGTAGACAGTGTCAGAATTGCGTCGAGTTATAGGACACGCAGCTGGTGTCGGGGAATTGCTCAGTGTGGGAGAACGCTCTCACACCTGGTGTCAGAAGTATGATGAGCTTGATAGATGTTTGAGGGGAAAGGAGAAACACAGGAATAGTGTGGGTTTCCTTCTCAGCTGCCCTAACAAATGACCACAAACTGGGTGACATAAAACAACAGAAATTTATTTTCTTACAGTTCTAATAGTTAGAGGTCTGCAGTCCAGGTGGCAGCAAGGTTAGTGCCCTCCGGAGGCTCTCCCCAACTCTGGAGGCTCTAGGGGAGGTCCCGGTCCTTGCCCTTCTCACTTTCCGGTGTTGCCGGCATTCTTTTGTTTGTAGACGCATCACTCCAGTCTCTGCCTCCATCATCACATGGCCTACTCGCTATGTGTCTATCTCCGTGTCTCTTCTCTTCTTCCTATAAGGACTCCCATCTTTTTATAAGGACACTTATACAACCTCATCTTAAGTGGCTCACAGCTGCAAAGATGCTATGTCCAAATAAAGTCACACTTACAAGTACCAGGGGTTAGATCTCCAACATTTCTTTTTAGAGGACACAGTTCAACCCACAACAGATATAGCCGGCTTCAGGTATAGCTGGCTTCAGGAGCTCAGGCAGTATCATCAAGGCCCTATTTCTTCTCTGTTCGGATTGACTCTCTCCAGATGGCCAATAGCAGACCAACGATGTATGTGGTGGCAGTACTTGTGGGGTTGGGCAGGGAAGTGGCAGTAAACAGCTCTTGTGTTTCATGCTCATGGGTGCTAAGAGGAACAGTGAGCCAGGAAAGATGATGGTAAGACATGATGGGTGAGGTTGGGCAAATCAGAGACAAATGAAAGATTGTCTGGATAAAGAGTAGAGATGGGGGAGGGGGCAGAGCCAGCGGAGTGGAGCTTTCATGGACCCTGAGTACCCTGTTACCTGGTTGGCACAGTTCTCTTTAAGGGTCCAGTAAATTTGGTGCTCAATGCCAAGCGCGAGAAAAAGCACTCGTTTAAAGTAGAGCTTGGTGTCTCCTTCCAGGATGGGTGGGGTGGAATCTGTTGTTTTCCCTCCCCAACTGCCATTCTGCATTCCTTTAGTAACAGCCCCATCATTTTCCTTTAGGGTAATTCTCTCCTCCACCACCTCCAGTTCACACTCTTGGGGTCTCCAAAAACTGGACAATCAGGACAGTCCATCCCTTTGGCCACAGTGATTGGCTCAGGGAAAGACCTCCTAGGTGTCTAGTGAGTCCTTATCTCTAGACTTTTTCTGGAACTGTTGGGAAAGAGAAGCATTCTTTTGGGCATGGGTGCTAAACCGGTAGGGTGTGAGAGTGAGGTGGCTAGGGACCATCTGTGCCTCCACCTGGCAGAGCCTGCCTCTGAAAGAAACGAAGACGGAAGAAAATTGAGCAGAGAAATGGAGAGAGAACCTGAAGCCTGGCAACGTTGTTCCAGCAAATGTATCCGCCCCATCCACCCATTTATCCTCCTGTCTGACCAATAGCTCTTTAAGAAGGATCTACCAAGAGCCGGGGGCTTTGCTAGTTTCAGTAATAAGTAAATAAGATGTGAACCCTGCCTTCCAGGATGCCCGGATCTATAAGGAAGTTAAAGACATGGTTAAAAATTATAGTGTTAAAAAGGCAGAAAAGGGTACGTGGTATGAGAGGCCCAGACAAAATGCCATAGAAATGCAGGAGAGAGATTATTTCCACTCGGGAGATGGATATTCTTGGATGGCAATGGAAGGCAAGTAGGATGTGGACATACACAGATGAGATGAAAGGCATTCCAGGAGGAGGAACTGCGTGAACAGAATAAAAATCATGGGGTGTCAAGGGGGTAGACCAAAAGTTGAATTTGGCTAGAACATAAGAAGTAGGAGGAATAGGAGAACTTAGAAAGTTGAGTTCAGAGACAGATCTTAGAAGGCCAGTGGAGTCAGGCTAAAGAGATTGGGCTGTATTCTGTTGACAATAACTTTTTTTTTTTTTTAAACAGGAGCCTCGCAGTTTCTTCATGAAGACAGACTGAGCAGTGTAGAGCATGGTTGGAATGGCAGGAGACTGAGCGTAGGAATCAGTTTTCCAGGTAAGAAGTTCTCAGGTCCCAAGCAGAGTAAAGCTCTCGTTATTAACTGCTGCGTTAACAAATCAACCCAAAACCTAATGGCTTAAAATAACAGTTTTGTCACATTTTACAATCATGTAGATTGGGAATTTGGACTCAGCTGCAATCATGTGGGTCAGCCCAGGGCTCAGCTGAATGTTTCTTCTGTCCCACACAGCACCGACTTTGAGTCACTCAATGGTATTCAGCAGGTAGGCTGAGATGCTCTGGAGGGTCCAAGAGAGTGTCACTCTTATGTCTGGTTCCTGGGCAGGAATGGCTGGGAGGCTGGTCTCCACTGGGGCCTTCTCCCTCTGCATGTGGTCTCAGGGCCTGTCCAGCAGCCCAGGGCTATCAGAGTGGGAGTTCCAAGAAATAGGAAGTGGAAATTGATGGCCTCTTAAATTGTGGCCCTGGAGACTTCCCACCATGCATCACTTCCACCACATTCTATTGGTTCAAGTCATCACAGAGTCCACCCAGATTGAAGAATTGAGGTCATACACCGCACATCTCAATGGGAGCGCTGTCAAACATGGTAGCTGTCTTCAGTCCACCATGCGTAATAACAGTGGGAAGAACCTGGTAAAAAAGAGGACTTCTGACACAGTAAAAAGAATTATCCCATATCGAAGTCCTTTTTTGGACAATTGGTGTGTGATGGCCTTGAATAGACTTTCTTGGACACTATCTCATCATCACTGATATATTGGTAACAGGTCTAGTGATAATAAGAGTATTGAATTAAAATGAAATCATATAGTTAAACCGAATGTTATTAAAAGGGCAGGTAAGACTCCTGTTAGGAGATCCAAGGCTAGGATTTACTATGTGGTGTGCATGGGTTTGGTGGCTCATTATGCATTGTCATGTAGGTGTAGGCTCACTAACAGTGTAAATACTTAGGCTTGATTGGAGGTGACAGCAAACTTAAGAATTGTTAATAAAATTAGGATAATGAATGTAATAAGGGCTGTACTTATTAATACGAGGCTTGCTCCCCCGATTAGGTGAATTAATAGGTGACTTGCTGTAATATTGGCTGTTGGCCGTATAGCTAATGCTATGGGCTGAATGGACAAACTAATGGTTTCAGTAATTACTAATACAGGACTAAGTGGCACTGGGGTTCCTTGGGGCAGGAAGTGAGCTGGTGATGCTCTTGTCTTGTTGCGGAAGCCTGTCAGCACGGTCCCCGCTCATAAGGGCATCGCTATGCCTAGAGTTGTTGATAGTTGTGTAGTAGGTTTAAATGAGCTTGGCGGAAGTCCTAGTAGGTTTGTTGTACCAGTAGCTATAATAAGGCACATAAGTACTAGTGTTCACGTTTGTCCTTTGTGGTTGTGAACAGCTATTATTTGCTTTGAATTAGTCATTGTTGGATAGAGACAAGGCGATTATTGATCAGCCGAGTAGGAGCAGGAAATAGCATGCTTGGAAATACAATGATTACAATTACAGTAGGGATTCCTATTATTGTTGGGGTAATGAAAGAGGCAAATGGATTTTCATTCATTTTATCTCTCAAGGGGTGATCTGCTTGTGTGTTTTGTTTATTTTTAATTTGGGGTTTGATGTCTAAATGTGTTTTGAAACTTTTAATTGGAAAATAATGAACAGGGTTAAAAGTATTGCTAGAATAGTAATAGATCATGTTGATGCATCTAGCTGAGGCAGATCATTAAGGGGAGACTTAAACTCTCACTCTTTAACCTAAAAGGTAAATGCTATTTAGCTTCTTAATGAATTTACAATATAGGTGCTGATCATTTTTCAAAGCGTTTTAATGGCGCTGTTTCAAGGATAATTGGCATGAAGCTGCGGTTTGACCCGCAAATTTCTGCGCATTGTCCGTAGCATAAACCTGGTCATGTTGATATCAGGGTTGTTCGATTCAAGCGTCCAGAGACTGTAACTGTTTTTAATCAAAATGAAGGGACTGCTCATGAATGTAGCACATCTTCAGATGAGGCCAGCATCGGAATTGTTATTTCTGTTGGTAGTACTGCCAGGTTATCCACTTCTGATAATTGCAACTCTCCTGGTTTTAAGTCTGATGTTGGGATTATAGAAGAATCGAAGTTCAGATCTTCATAATATGTATATTCATAGCTTTAATATCATTGATGACCTATTGTTTTTACAGTCAAGGAGGGGTTATTAATTTCATCTATTATGTAAAGGATTTGCAGTGATGGCAGGACAATTAGAATGAGGATAATAGCTGGTAAGATTGTTCGAATTGTCTCCACTTTTCGTGCATCTGTGGTGCTTGCGTGTGTTAATTTAGTAGTTAGTATGAGTGAAATAATATATAGGACTAAGGGGCTAATTAGGAATATGGTGATTAGTATGTGGTCATGAAAATGTAGTCGTTCTTCTATGGTAAGTGATGTTGCGTTTGGAAGCCTAGCTGAAAGGGATGTGCCATAGAGATATGTAGGGTTTTCACCTATGATTTACTTTTGACGAAGTTATGTAAATCTTTACTGCTACCTCTTTATTGAGAAAGGCATAGTGGCTATGGGTTGGCTTGAAACCAGTTGGAGAGGGTTCAATTCCTTCCTTTCTTATTTTAGATTAATATAAGTGGGCTCTTCAAATGTGTGATATGCTAGAGGGCATCCCTGTAGTCAGTCTAAGGTGGTGCTAGTGAATTCTACTGTTGAAACCTCTTGTTTTGATGCAAATGCTTCTCATACGATAAAAAGTATTAATATTACTGCTGTTAATGAAATAGAAGAGCCTGTAGATGAGACGGTATTTCATGTTGTGTGTGTGCATCGGGGTAGTCAGGGTACCGTCGGATACTTTGGGAATGAGAGGATGACAGGTCAAAGCTAAATCGTAGAGGGTGACATCACAGGACTGAGGACACAGCTGTGGACAAAACAGATAAAAATCTCTGCCCCAGTGGAGTTCATGGGCTAGTGGTTTGGAGAGAGAGATGGTTTCTGGTGTGTGTACCTGGCAGCACGGAGGTACCATTATCAGCTATAAGGAGCCCAGGAGGCCAGTTTGAACTTGAATTTGATAGTATAACCGGAAACCAAGGGCTCGATTCCCCCAGCACTACAGCTGCATTCTTAACTGCAGTAACAGCCCTCTGACTCCAAGCTGTGGAGGAAATCCAGGATTTCGCTTCCAACCACAGGCAGTGCCTGCAAGATTACAAAGAGAAAGACGAGCACTTTAAAGCCTCCTAGATTTCCTGCCTTTCTTGGGCAGGAAAAGCATGTGGAATCAGGCAACTCCACTGCCGATCATACTCCAGTAACAAGGAGGGCTCTAATGTTGGAATTCACACTTTGACACACTCTGCTCACTTCCCGCATCTGTTTTCTCTGGAGAATCTCTCCATTGACTTGGGTTTTAAAGAAACAGAAGTTTCTGACTTTAGGAAGCTCTTTTTGGGCCTTTGAAAACTCAGATGGGTTTTCTTTCAAAGTAGACTGAAATGCCCACGATATATTACTGAGTTAAAAAAAAAAAGAAGCAAACTGAAGAGTAATGTGTATAATATTTGTGGAAAAATTTGTTTTATAGATGCACAGCAAAAGGTCAAAAAGATTTTTGTGTGTGTGATTTCTATTCACTTTAATGGAGGTTCTTAATGTATTTGGCAATTAGAAAATTACTTTTCACTGAAGATTCCAAAGGACTTCAAATAGAAATGAATTCAGTAGAGGAACTGGTGTACCTGAAAGCAGCCAAACCACTCATTCTTTAAAAACCCTACATCTTACCTGCAAGATTCATAAGAAACAAATTTTATTTTATTAAGACAGAAGTTTGCTGTGGGGAGGGAGTAGCTCAAGTGGTACAGCACGTGCTCACCATGCACAAGGTCCTGGGTTCAATCCCTGGTACCTCGTCTAAAAATAAACAAGCCTAATTACCTCCCCCCCGCCAAAATAAAATAATTAAAAGAAAAAAAGATAGACATTTGCTGTCTAATTTACACTTTACACGTAGTTTAAAAGTTACGTAATATAAATCATAAAGTACTGACTTTTAGTTCCTTTCCTTATAAGATCTTAAAGGCAGATGGGAAGGAAGAGAAAAATGGGAGAACCAGTAGATTACATTTAGTATAATATTTTGGCTTGAAGGAGAGGATTTACGTACAATTTCTGATCAAATTTCTGTTTGTTCCTGTCCACCGTACTTAAGTAGGAAGGATATGGTATCAGTGGATGGGAGAGGTTTGTCCCAGTGATCAATGACTGCAAAAATCCCAGTGTCCGCCACGCACAATAAAGGTTTACTTGTCACATGTCCCAGGGTATCGTGGGCTGGTTCTGTTGTCTTCACTCTGGGATCCAACTTTCCGGGACATCGTTCTGGTTCTTATTGGGTCTCTATTCTTTGCTCAGACGAGTCCCGTGGCTAAGCCTGAGCACAACAGGATGAAGGTGTCCATTCCCTCCTCAGAGTAACACACAGTATTACCACGGAATCTGCTGAACCGTTTGTAGTGATTACTGCTGAGGTCAAGGGTCAGAGGTTAAGGCGATTTTACCTTTCACCTTCTAGGCTCCTATATTATTCTGATGGGTCTCAAAAAGCATGCACTATTTTTGTACTGAAAAACACCTCTTAAATCTTATTTATTCTTAACTTTTTATTATGGAAAATTCAAACATAAGCAAAAGAGAGAATAGTTTGATGACCATCCCCCACCATGACCTTTCACCCAGCTTCCAACAATTCTTAACTCATAGACAATCTTGTTTCAGTGGTAACACTACCCACTCCGCCTCCCAGATTATTTTGAATAACTCCCACCATTGTATTATTTTGTCTTAAACGTATCATTATTTATCTCTAGATAGGGATTCTTTTTTCAAAAAAGTAACCACAATATTATTATCACAAAAAAAAATTAACAATTCCTTAATATTATCAAATATATAATGAGTATTCAAATTTCCCCAACTGTTATATATATATATGTAACAGTTTGTTTGAATCAAATTCCAAAAAAGGTCCATATATTATGTTTGCTGATACGTGTTTTGTCTCTTGATCTTAATCCACAGCTCTCTCTTCCATATCTTTCTCCCTTCTTTTTAATTCTTTTGCAATGTATTGTTGAGGAAATCAGAATGTTTGTCCTTTAAAATTCCGCAACCAGAATTTTTCAGATTGCTTTCCCACAGTGATGTTTACCATGTTTCTCTGTCCTCTGCATTTCTGGTAAATTAATAGTGAGACTTATAGGCTC